AGTCAGAGTTTAAGCACAGAAGGGACCACTAGATCTAGTCTGACCTTGTGTATACCACAAGCCAACACCAACACCCAGCACTTACACACTAAACTTAACTGAAATTAGCCCCAAGTGTTGCAGCCTACAAGAGGCTAGACTAAAATATAGACTAGACATTCAAATATAGAATTGCTGATGGTAAAGGGAAAACATCAACATGAACATTTTAAGGCTAGATTTCAAAACTTTAAGACTGTTATTGATACTATGGTGAAGGGTGACACAGAAGAACCTATAGATTCCTAACCAAACTGCTTTCTTACAACAAAAATGTTAAGGCTTACATTTAAATGTTAAAAGAAATTTCACCAATGAGATTCTAAATGTAACTGAATGCTTCCAAAGTACGTGGCAGTTAGTGGTAGTACAGAATTGTGACAATACTATAGTTAGAATATCAACTAAATCTCATTTTTAGTTAAAACTCAAAAATGACTGTTCAGACTAAAATTTTTCATACTGAGTGCAGCCCAAAAGGGGAGGAGGAAAATGCAGTCTAAGCCAGTTTCTAATAGTTTATAAGTCTCTGCCACAACTGCCAAAGAGGCAATGAAACACCATTTCTCTGGCAAAGAGGTGGCAGAGTCCAAGTCAAGAGAGCTTTTCAGAATGTAAATCACTTAGGGTATGTCACATTTCAATAAGAGACCTGTAGCCCAGCCATGGTTGCCCCGGGTCAGATGCCTTGGGCTCACTAGGCTACACAATTGCAGTGTAATGTTGAGGATTACTAAGGGTTTGTCTACACTGCGATCAAAAACTTGTGGCACCAATTCTCAGAGCCCAGGGTCCAGCCGGAGCCAGAATGTCTACACTGAAATTTTTAGCCCTGCAGCCTGAGCCCCACAAGCTTGAGTCTGCTGACATAAGCTCAGACTTAGTGCCATGAGTTTTTTTAATTGCAGTGTAGACATGTTTGTAAACCCACATTACTTCCACACAACCCCAGAAGGCAGCAAGTCTTGTTGCCAAGGGATTATCTTATTTCCAAGAGAAATCAGAAATCAGAATGTCATCCACTGAAACTATAACCCCAACACTCCCTTTTCAAGAATTTGGCCCATTCACATAAAGCAGGAGTTGGGAACCTACAGCCCGGATCCAGCCCGCTGCTTAATTTCATCCGGCCCGCAGCAAATCTCTGCACTGTGGGCCGGAAGCTAGGGTTGCCAGGCCGTTAAAAGTCTGGTCAGCTGCACACGGTCCCAGAAGCAGCTGGCATGTTGTGATAGATTTCTGTTACCAATCTGCCTGAAGCGCCAGGTGATCAATCAGGCTGAAGCCGCAGGATTGTTTGGGGAGGAGATGACGAAACACACCAAGCGTCTGAATTTTAAAGCTTTATTGATAAAATAATAAAGTAACAGTGGAGAGTGATGGGTGCTCCCCACATCACTCAGAGGAAGGAAGAAAGCGTTAGTGCCCCAAGTCCTAACCCGCTTTCATACTCACACACGCTCTACCCGAGGCTGGCCAAGCCTGGGTGTAACGTAAGAAGAAGAGGGGGAGGGATGGATGGATGGGAGTTCTTGTCCCGTGCACAGGTTGTCCAGGGTCCGCTGCCAATCTCTGATATGCCTCAGCTCCTGGGAGGGTTTTAAGTCCTGCGGTCTCTTGGGGGCATCTCCTTCAGAGACCTTTGTTTCCCCTGCTCTGTGTACCAGCCCAAACCAGCCTTCTGTGTCTTCTTCGGTTTTCCCAAAACATCCTGGCTTTAGGGGTGGTATATCAGTTGTTTTCCCCCTCATCGGCCTTCAGTGTCTTGCTCCTTTTCGTGGCCCCTGCATTCGTTCAACAATTCTCCTTTCTCACAGCTGGTCGGGGGCGGGGTGTGTGTGTGGTGGACTTCCCCTGCTTGTGTCTTGGCAGGTAGCAGCTGGCCTTGGGCTAAAGTCAGCTTCTATCTTCGGGTTTAACTGGAACATCAAGTTAACCCGTTCCTTTCTTTTTTTCCCTCCCCCTTCCCGGCCTTTTGCAACCTGCAACGAAACCTTTTAGTCCGCATTCATACCTTTAACCCTTCCCTACATTGTTTTCATTACCTACAAAAGCATTAGCAGCATATAAGGCTAGCGTTTACTCAGCCCCCGCATATTGTGACAGTGTCCTGTGGCCCCTAGGCACAGGGGCAATCAGGGAAGTTCCATGTGAGGTCCCCGACCCCAGCGCCAGCTCCGCAGCTCCCATTGGCTGGGAACCACGCACCACACAGAGCCACCTGGCTGCACCTCTACCTAGGGGCCGGACATGCCAGCCGCTTTTGAGAGCAGTATGGAGCCAGGGTAGGCAGGGAGCTGGACTTACTCTCGCTGCGCTGCTGACCAAGAGCTGCCTAAGTTAAATGCCATCTGGCCAGAGCCTGCACCCCGAACCCCCTGCCCCAGGTTGGAACCCCCTCCCGCACCCTAACTCATTCTCAGACACCACACCCCCACCCCAACTTCCTGCCCCAGCCCTGAGCCCCTCCTGCACCCCACACACTTCATCCCTTCTTGTTGCCAAGAAGGCCAATGGCATTTTGGGATGTATACGTAAGGGCATTGCCAGCAGATCGAGAGACGTGATCGTTCTCCTCTATTCGACATTGGTGAGGCGTCATCTGGAGTACTGTGTCCAGTTTTGGGCACCACACTACAAGAAGGATGTGGAAAAATTGGAAAGAGTCCAACGGAGGGCAACAAAAATGATTAGGAGACTGGAACACATGACTTATGAGGAGAGGCTGAGGGAACTGGGATTGTTTAGTCTGCGGAAGAGAAGAATGAGGGGGGGGGTTTGATAGCTGCTTTCAACTACCTGAAAGGGGGTTCCAAAGAATCATAGAATATCAGGGTTGGAAGGGACCCCTGAAGGTCATCTAGTCCAACCCCCTGCTCGAAGCAGGACCAATTCCCAGTTAAATCATCCCAGCCAGGGCTTTGTCAAGCCTGACCTTAAAAACCTCTAAGGAAGGAGATTCTACCACCTCCCTAGGTAACACATTCCAGTGTTTCACCACCCTCTTAGTGAAAAAGTTTTTCCTAATATCCAATCTAAACCTCCCCCACTGCAACTTGAGACCATTACTCCTCGTTCTGTCATCTGCTACCATTGAGAACAGTCTAGAGCCATCCTCTTTGGAACCCCCTTTCAGGTAGTTGAAAGCAGCTATCAAATCCCCCCTCATTCTTCTCTTCTGCAGGCTAAACAATCCCAGCTCCCTCAGCCTCTCCTCATAAGTCATGTGTTCTAGACCCCTAATCATTTTTGTTGCCCTTCGCTGGACCCTCTCCAATTTATCCACATCCTTCTTGTAGTGTGGGGCCCAAAACTGGACACAGTACTCCAGATGAGGCCTCACCAATGTCGAATAGAGGGGAACGATCACGTCCCTCGATCTGCTCGCTATGCCCCTACTTATACATCCCAAAATGCCATTGGCCTTCTTGGCAACAAGGGCACACTGCTGACTCATATCCAGCTTCTCGTCCACTGTCACCCCTAGGTCCTTTTCCGCAGAACTGCTGCCTAGCCATTCGGTTCCTAGTCTGTAGCGGTACATTGGATTCTTCCGTCCTAAGTGCAGGACCCTGCACTTATCCTTGTTGAACCTCATCAGATTTCTTTTGGCCCAATCCTCCAATTTGTCTAGGTCCTTCTGTATCCTATCCCTCCCCTCCAGCGTATCTACCACTCCTCCCAGTTTAGTATCATCCGCAAATTTGCTGAGAGTGCAATCCACACCATCCTCCAGATCATTTATGAAGATATTGAACAAAACCGGCCCCAGGACCGACCCTTGGGGCACTCCACTTGATACCGGCTGCCAACTAGACATGGAGCCATTGATCACTACCCGTTGAGCCCAACAATCTAGCCAGCTTTCTACCCACCTTATAGTGCATTCATCCAGCCCATACTTCCTTAACTTGCTGACAAGAATACTGTGGGAGACCGTGTCAAAAGCTCTGCTAAAGTCAAGAAACAATACATCCACTGCTTTCCCTTCATCCACAGAACCAGTAATCTCATCATAAAAGGCGATTAGATTAGTCAGGCATGACCTTCCCTTGGTGAATCCATGCTGGCTGTTCCTGATCACTTTCCTCTCATGCAAGTGCTTCAGGATTGATTCTTTGAGGACCTGCTCCATGATTTTTCCAGGGACTGAGGTGAGGCTGACTGGCCTGTAGTTCCCAGGATCCTCCTTCTTCCCTTTTTTAAAGATTGGCACTACATTAGTGAGGATGAATCTAGACTGTTCTCAGTGGTAGCTGATGACAGAACAAGGAATAATGGTCTCAAGTTGCAGTGGGGGAGGTTTATGTTGGATATTAGGAAAAACTTTTTCACTAGGAGGGTGGTGAAACACTGGAATGCGTTACCTAGGGAGGTGGTGGAATCTCCTTCCTTAGATATTTTTAAGGTCAGGCTTGACAAAGCCCTGGCTGGGATGATTTAGTTGGGGATTGGTCCTGCTTTGAACAGGGGGTTGGACTAGATGTCCTCCTGAGGTCCCTTCCAACCCTGATATTCTATGATTCTATCCTCAGCCCCATCCCAGAACCCATACCCCCAGCCGGAGCCCTCACCCCCTCCCATATCCCAACCCCCTCCCCCAGCCCAGAGCCCCCTCCTGCACCCTGAACCCCTCATTTCTGGCCCCACCCCAGAGCCTCAGGGAAGCCCCAAGCCTCCGTGCCCCACCATGGGGCTGTGTGTGGCCCACGACCAATTTTTTTCTGTGGGTCAATTTAAGCACTTTGTCTTCAACTCCTGCCCATTTCTATCTGAAATTGTCAAGGAGATTGCTCCCCAACCTGTCAGTCTCAGACTTAACTAAGTGATCTAAACATTTATGAAATCCAGACTTGAGGATGACAATTCATATTTAGGTATAACCACAACCCCCTCCAAAATGTCATCTGGTACAAAATGCAGCAGTCCAAATGCTTAGCAACACAGACTGCCATTGTGCTTCACTGTGTTCCACTACATTCACTGGCTTCCTACTGAAGACAGTCCAATTCAAAATTTCTGTCCTGATAACCAAAGCCCTCCATAGCAGTAGCACAAGAAACTTGAGAATGCCTCTCCCTCTAAAACCAGCTCACCTATCTTCTACTGGAACTTGAGGGATGCACCGAATAGAATTTTCTTGGGGCTAGACCTAGAATATGGAATTCACTCTTGCAAGAGCTGAAAGTGACCAGAAATCTCATTTCATTTAGAATTAAGAGCCAGATCCAAAAGCCAGGCATGCAAATGGAAATCTTTCCATTGATTTAACTGGTCTCTGGATTAGTCGTAATTGCAAAATTCACATCTGACTTAGCTTTTCCTCAGATTTTACACATACACACAAATGAACTAATCAGCTGTTTTTCCTGTAGACTGAGAAGGGGAAAAAAGAGCAAGATACAGATGCTATGGCAGTTGAGACCAGATAAATACAGTAACTCCTCACTTAATGTCCTCCCGCTTAACGTTGTTTCAAAGTTACGTCGCTGCTTAATTAGGGAACATGCTCGTTTAAAGTTGTGCAATGCTCCCTTATAACGTTGTTGGCTGCCTGCTCTGTCCACTGCATGTAAGATTTTGTGGAAGAGCAGCGACTTTACAAGGTAGCAGTGCACAAGTTCCTTTTCTCCGCCTCCTCCCCATCCCTCCCAGCGCTTCTCCAGGCGCTTAGGACTTTCTGGGAGGGAGGGGGAAGAGCGGGGAAGCACCACGTCTCCACTCCTCCCTCTCAGAAAGTCCGAAGCCCACCAAACAACTGTTTGGTGGCGCTTAGGACTTTCTGGGGGTGGGGAAGGAGCAGGGATGCAGCGTGCTCTGGAGAGGAGGAGGAGGAGTGGGGGTGGAAAGAGGTGGGTCTGGAGTAGAGCGGGGATGGAAAGAGGCGGGCCTGGAGCATCCCCCGGCAAAGTCAGCGCCTGTTCTCCTCTGGGTAAGCTGCCACTGCTGCTGTGAAGATGCTTCCTAGCATCCTTGCCTGCAGCGAGCTGTGCCTGTGTGGGATAAGCCAGGGGCACTTCCCAACCACAGTACAGTACAGTATAGAATGCCTTTTGTCTACCCCCCCGCCCAAATTTCCTTGGAACCTAACCCCCCGCATTTACATTAAAATGTATGGGAAAATTGGATTGGTTTAACATCATTTCACTTAAAGTTGCATTTTTCAGGGACATAAGTACAACGTTAAGTGAGGAGTTACTGTACCCTTTTTCCCTTGGGGAGATTGGGCCGGGAGTTTGTTAATCCAGTGATTGCTGTGGAAATTAACTCTGGATTTCCTTGCTTGTGAGTGTTCATGTCAGTGAAAGATCTGTCTTTACATTTATTGTTCTTTGGTGAAGTTCACTAATGGTTCCCCATTAAAACATTCAGTTTGCGCCAAAGTGCAAATATTTTGGCAAGAATTAAGCATTTTCAAAACACACAAAATACCTCTACACAATGCACCCATTCAATAAAGATGAATGTTACTATGAATATAGTATATACCTGCAAAATTATGTATTTCCAGCCTTTTTCCTGTATTGTTTCCTAGCTTCATTTGGATCCATTTCAAAACACTTCTGGCAACACAGTAAGATCGTGTCTACAGGAGGAACTATATTTAGAGTGCAAGCATCTAGCCTTAGAGGCCTTTAAATAGTAATAAAGAATTGAAATATAAAATCCAAACTTTCTATCTTCAGTTTGATAGCTTCATGCTTCAGAGTTCCATCAAGGGATCTAATTAACTACATCAAATTACCAAAAAATATTCCATTGTCTCAAGATGATGAAAAAATGCTATTAAATGGGCATTTTTAATTTGATAAGAAAACAGTTATTATTTCCACAAAGTTCAATGGAATTATTAGCAAACCACATATTTCTTTTAAGAATTAGGATAAAAATGCTTTAGAGGAAAAGTGCTAAACATTTTTAATAACTGCCTTAACCGTATTGCTTCTTCAAGAAATAGTGCAGATAAGAGTTCAAAAATAGTCTTTTTCAATGAGGGTCAGGTAGCATGCTAACATACAGATTTCTCAGAGCATAAGACATGATTGCACAATATGGTTTCTGTATACAAAACATGGATAAAGCTATAAGCACAAGAGATAGCTATTTCAATAAGTGCAAATGTAGAATGTGGGCATTCTGAAGGGGTGGCATACTGTCTTGCAATTAGTGCAGATGTACAAATTTATGACCCACCATGCAGAAGCACTTCTAGTTACAAAACAGGCTCCAATATAATCTGTTCTCAGCCATGGAGTTGGGAATTCCCATACTGATATGGTATATAGACGATTCTTCAATGCACTTTATTTAGAAGATACTGCAGAATCTTTCCTTTGTATAAAGATAGTTCTTTAATAGCCTAAAGGAAAAGCTCAAAGGCAAAACCACCAAGTAGCTTAACGTGAGACATAGAGCCACTTCCCCTTTTTCTGCATTATCATCAGACACAACACTAGTTGCAGTTTCCATTTGAGTCCCCTTCAATTTTAAGAGTCTGCTCTAAGAAATCACATTGATAATCCCATTAGGACTAAGATGTTCATAAACTTCTAAATCTCTATGTTGTGGACGCCAAAAGGGACTCCCTGTAGTCTTCAATGATTCTCTTCATGACTCACGCACTTCATCAGTATGCCTATATGCAATCACGGACTCCTCTTCCCCAACATCTATCAGGAGATCCACTGGTACATGAGGTTTGTCATAACCAGAAAACTTGTTGCAGCTCTTTAGGACAAGGGACTCTTGCACCTCAGTGTCGGAAGGCTCTGGGTTTGAAGGAATACTATTTAACTCCGTTTGGCTACTATTAGAATGAAAATAATTCTCTTTCACTCTCGGGCTTTGTTCATCATCAGGGGTCATTTCAGCAATGCTTTCTTGGATAGCCATCTCTTCTGTTTTGTTTGATATCTCCTGGGAGCTGATAGTATCTGATTCTTCACTGCAGTCTTCAGAATTAGGGGTCCCTATTTCTTTAACTTGGTCTACTTGTTCTATCACGTTTATCTCATCACTCACCAAAAACACTGGCTTGGATGATGATGAGGTTATGACTGAGATATATTTTGCTTCTGGTTTCGTTTCTAAAACGTTGCGCGAGTTCAAATTTCGTACCACAGTGACCTTAAAAGTAAAGAGGAGGTACTTTAGTTATACATAAATTACGTGTTCTGATGATAATCTAGTTTACTCTATAAATTAAAGTTTAGAGGCAAGACAAAATAATGCTTTAAAAGGGATACATGTGATAATTTAACTACATTTTCCTTTCAGGAAATCTGAATTCAAACAGGAGTTAAGTGGAAATCAGCAACTGACATCAGCGTATGGCTTTGATACCAACAGACCTGCTGGACTTTTTAGGTGAGATATCACAAATTCCACAACCATCTAGCAGGGACCTAAAAAAAGTTTCATCACCCATTAGACTAGAAGAAGTAGTGGTATGTAAATGAGAAGGAAGGAGGAGGAAAAAGCAGGGAATATTCCTCTTACTCCTGTTATTTAAGCAATCTTACAAGCTTCAGCTACAAAGGAAGTCAAATCCAGAAACTAGCCATTTTTTTCACCAACTTCCAGCCCAGCTACTTCACTTGCAGAAAGCTGGGCTTTTTAGGTTATTTAGGCTTTGTCTACACCACCACTTTTGTCAGTAAAACTTTTATTGGTCGGGGTGTGAAAAAAACATCCCCCTGACCAACGTAAGTTTCACTGGCAAAAGTGCTGGTGTGGACAGCTATGCCTCTCCCGTTGATAACAACGCTCTTTGGGGTGGTTTAATTATGCCAGCAGGAGAGCTCTCTTCTGCAGGCAAAGAGTGGCTACATGGTAGACCTCACAGCGGTACAGCTGTGCTGCTGTAAGGTCCGTAATGTAGACATAATCTCAGTCTTACAACAACATTAGAGCCCTAAAACATCCCTTTTATAATCTTTAGGTATGTTAAAAGTGATATTTCTCCTTGAAAATTAATCCACAAGAAGAGCACCTTATATGCTTTGGCTGATTTTAAATTGCCTTAACTGATTTTAACTCTCTAAATATGTGTCACTTCTTTCTGTTATAATGGAGACAAGTATTCAAGGTCTAAAGCTGCTAAAGAACAGTCACGGAAAATATAGGGAGAGAGACCAGGGGTCAGGAGTATTCATGTATCTCAAAGTAGTTATGAACTGCTGTAGTTAATCCCTAACTTTTTGTACTGGGGTGGGGAAGAGAATCTTACATTGCTACTTCTAAGAGGACACAAAATAGTTAAAAGTCCAACATGTTAAAAGTATCCTGGTCCTGGAGTGAACACAAGGCTCAAGTCTCTACATTCTGAACCAAATCAGAATTAACTCCCTCTCAGGTACTAAGAAACTGGATGTTAAGATCTAGATATACACTAGATAGAAATAGGAATTGAGATCTGTGTAAACACAAAGCTCCTCCCTTCACTCTTAAAATAATGTTATGCTCTGAAATTCATTTAGTTCCTTGGAGCAGCTACAAATCCAACTCCAATATCTCTTATAATTGGAGGGTAAAGAGAGAGAATTCCACATTTAAGCCTGAATATGAACCACGGGAATTAAACTGAAATGAAATTCTGTAAAAGCTATTAGCAACAAGAGAACAAAATGTGCATCTGCGATAATGGGTAAAACATCTGCATGATGGCTATATTACAGCTTCCAACATTTTAGCACCAGCGTCAAAGATCTCTAAATTTTTTCTAACAGTAGACTATGCCTATGAGTGAGGAAGGGAGCCTTAATCTTGATGTTGTTCTTAACAGATGTTCAGAAGGGACCATTATCATCATCTAGTCTTGACTTCCTTTGAGTTTGCAGTGTTGTGTTATAATATAGCTCTTTATACTGCCTCTACATTACACAGTCATGTTAGCAATGGATACTATGGTGACAGAGGCTTTCTTTATAAATGCTGAGAGGTACTTGCAGCTAAGGCTTTTGTAACGGACAGTAGAATAAACTTCTCTGCAGTTAGTTTTTGAACAAAGCAAGCCCTGGTACACACATGGTATGTCTATACCGCAATCAGATACCGGTGGCTGGCCAGGTAACTTGGACTCGTGGGGCTTGGGGTGCAGACCGAGCTCTAGGACTCTCCCCCACTCACATGGTGCTAGAGCCCAGGCTCCTCCCTGAACTTGAATATCTACACCACAGTTAAACAGCCCCTTAACCCAGGTCACCTGGCATGGGCCAACCACAGGTGTCTAACTGCAGCGTAGACATACCCATAGACATACCTATTTCTCTTGCCATAAAACAAGGCAGTAATTAGAAGGGGAAAAAACCTCCCCTAAGCAGATGTTTCCTATCACCCGATAGATTTACTGAAGCTAGGTCTAAAAGGTTCCTTATAAAATATGACTCTGACTTCAAAAGAATTTAGCAATTCAAGGAGTCCAGCTCCCATGACATACTTAAGCACCACTCCTCCCACCACAAATGCACTTCCAGTAACATAAGAATAAGTGCAATTAAGATATAAGTTAAATGTTTTAAGAATGGATACTAAGGGCTTGCCTACACTTGCAAGTTAGAGCTTATTAAAGCAGCCCCAGGCGCCCTAACTTCCAACCCGTCCACACCGGCAAGGCACTTAGAGCGCCTTGACTCTGCAGCTGAAGCGCTCCTGGTAATCCACCTCCACGAGAAGCATAACGCTTGTTGCGCCTCGGCTGAAACGCCCCAGTGTCAGTGTGAATGAGGTGTTGCATTACTGCGCTTTGATCGGCCTCCGGAAAAGTCCCATAATCCCCTTAAGTCAAGTGGCCACTCTTGTCATTGTTTTGGAATTGGCTGTAGGAATGCGGATATGCCCTTTCAAAGCTCCGTTTGTTTCTGACAACCGGCATGCTTATCTGCTCCGGGACAAAGCAAGCCATTAGTGTGGAATATTGCTTGCTGTAAGTGTGTGAGAGAGAGGTGGCGGCAGGGGGGGAGGTGTGAAGGTCTGCACTTACAAGACATCATGCTGACACACTCAGCACCCCAAAACCCCACTCTCACCCCCTCCACATACACACAACACACTCTCTGTCACACTCCACTCCACCCCACTCCCACCCCCTCATTTGAAAAGCACACTGCAGTCAATTGCATGCTGGGATAGCTACCACAATGAACTGCTCTTTGTGGCATTGCAAGAGCTGCTAATGTGGCCACGCCAGTGTGCCTCCAGCTAAGTGTGTAAACACTCGGCAGCATTTTCCCTGCTGTGGTCTCCGAAGGCGGGTTTAACTCCCAGCGCTCTTCAGCTGCGAGTGTAGCCATGCCCTGAGTACTTAAACCTGGTCTACTGGAGTAAACTCATTAGTAAGGAGAAAGTCTAGTATTAAAGGAAATACAAAGCATCTAGTTGGAGTAAAAAGCTTACTGGTGTATAAATTCAGAGCACATATAACATCATGGTGGAAGGATAAGACAAGTGCAAAGAATTTAATTTAAGAACCCATACAGATATTGTGACAAATAAAGGCTATTTAGTTAGTTAATATTGTGGCTATACAGTATGCAGTTTTGTTTACTGATGTTTGTTTTCTCCTACATGTTGCCCACTAGTTATTTCAATACAAATATCAGCTGTAAGACTAAGCTTGTTAGATATTAAAATGTGCTACACAATAACAGACTGACACCAAATGTGCTACTGAACAGTACTGTAAACTTACCAAAGACTTGGGTAGTTCAATTTTTCTCTTCTTTAGTTGCTTGCAAAGACAATACACTGCAAAAATCAGTCCAGCGCCAAAGACAACGGTAACACCAATAATAATACTTTTTAAGTCTAGAAAGTTAAAGCAAAATATAGTGAGAGGTTTGGAAAACAGGATGTTGCTCTTTCACAAAAATCATAAAATAGAAATGGCACACAACCTTTAGCGCAACTAAATCCACAAACTAGGGTTTTCACAATTGAGTGTATATTTTGGAATTAAATGTATGATTTGGTCCAAGAGAATTCTTTAAAAAACAGCTTTAGGGTTTCTTTTTATTGATGTTTTCTTTAATTATGAAGAGGACAAGGAATGCATGAGCAAATTGTAGCTTTTTCTGCTCTTTAGAGAGATTCAATGTGGATAAATAACTTGATATTTTTAAAAAACAAAGTGCTCCAAAACACAAGAATTGTAGAACTACTGATTACAGACATAGGGGTAATAGTGGAGTTGGTCTCTTAAACAGAATTGGGCTCAGCTCTCCTGTGTGCCCAAGTTTGCTGTAAGGAGGAGGATGGGGCTGTCCCAGGAGTTATGAATGAGAGAATCCCAAAGGCAGGAGAATTCAAAACCCAGTGTTGAGAAAACACATAGTAAGGAAGATTAGCCATCCTCACTCATTTTTAAGTTGGGGGGGGAGGGGGGAGACACTTGCTTTATATTTGTATCACAAGCTTATGGTTACCTTAAACCCAGGAAAGCCTACACATTTTAACTGGTTATAAATTTCCAACTGAATGTCACTTGTGCAATTCCAAAGTCTGTCTTCCAAAAACTAATTTAATGATCCATTTTTTATTCAATAAATTACACAACTGTCTAACTGCAACTGAAACAAATTATGGTACAAATCAAGTAGAAAATGACAGCCATACAACTGCTGGACAACGTTAATACAATACCAGTTACAAATCTTCAGAAATATGGATCAGATTTTTATAAATTATTTTACCTAGTGGCTGTTTTGAAGGAACATGAATGCAACTTTCATTTGATTTGGAAAATCCTCGATCTGAAACAATCGATGAACGTCCTCGAGCTGAAACACAGTAGGTGGAACCGGTAGAAAACACTGGAATGTATATGCTACATGTATGCTTCTTACATTCCTCTGCTTCAAGCTCTTGGGGCTGAAAGAAAAGTAAAGTTAGATTCAGACCCTTAATCACTTTGAACTTACAATATTGACTCAATATGTAAAGACAGTATTGTCACCTTAGAGTGTGATAACTTTTAAAGTGCTGAGTATCAGACCTGTGGCTCCTGCATCTTTGTGCATTGCAAAAGCTGTACATCTCAACTAACAGCTATTTGCAAGGCAACAGCTCTAACTTCTAGCATTATTAAGAACTCATATTAGACCATTGTGCCCATTGGTAAAATTTTCAAGAGCATCTAAATGACTTAGGCTCTTAAATCCCATTGATGTTCAAACATTTCCATTCTGAGGCTCTTTCAGTTGCTTATAACTGAGAAACTTTCCCGTCAGACTGAACTGGTTTCCACCTAAAGACAGTTTTTTTCTTTTTCTTTTTTTTAAATGGAAGTTTGAGCATAAATGGCTAAACATTTTTTGAGAGCAAAGCTCTCATTTACTGTTAAAAAAAGTGTTGCAAGCTTTTTTGTATTGCTTTAGTGGCTTAGTTGATAGGGATATAAATTTTAAATCTTCCACAGAGGTGGTCCCTAGACTGGATATGTGCCTTTAAACCATCTGGTGAAAATCTGCATTGATTTCAAAATCAAGGATGTAGATGTGTACATAGAGTACAGTAATTTTTAGATCACTTAAAAAACCCCAATCTCCCAATTTTGCATTGGCACCAATTTTTGGATCATACTAAAACATTTCCCCTCAGGGCCGCTGCTTCATTCAGCGTGCAGAGCAGACTGGGTGGTGTTCAGTGAATGAGGTAGCTCAACGCACTGAAGAAAATCTGAGTCTTGCCTTATATGGAGACAAATTCTGTGTGTCATTATCATGCAGTAAATTCATACAAGTTAATGGAGGTACTCTGAATCCACAGTGGTGACTGATTATTTGGACAGGATAAGTGAACGAGTTAGTGGACAAACACATTTATCTATGAAGATAAAAGCAAATACTGAACAGCTCCCTCCATTCAATATAAGGTTCTCAATCATCACAATGAGGGACATGAAAGAAAAACCTAAATGGATTAGGTGTCCAAAAGGCACACTTAATAAAGCAGGGGTCCAACAGAAATAATGGCATGTGACCACATGATTAAAGATTACTGCAGTGGATACTCAAAGGACAGGGCTATGGTTAAGGTTCCACATTCAACATTTCAGGGATTCACTTTTGCATCATTAGTAGTTTTAAAATTGTTTAAAGAAATTTCTCTTGGCTGTGTGTGTAATTTAAGGTAATAAAAACCTATTATTTATTAATATATGCCTTTTCTAAAACTATGTATCTTTGTAAAAAAGGCCAAAATACAATCTGAAACTTTCAATTTAAAACATACCAGTTCTCCACTGGACCAAAAAAACACCTTGTACGTGAAGTCCTTATATTTTCTAACAGCAGATGGAAGTTTCCGATATGGGTGGCGAATCTCAACCCTGATTTGGTCTCTCTCAATTGAGACATTCAGAGTAGGTGGTCCTATTTTTCCTGAAACAAAGGTTCACTATTAGGTTGAAGGATTTGATACAGAATTCAAAGACAAATGTAGGGCTAACAGATATGGCATTTATCGTTCATTTTCAAGAGGAAAAAATTGTTTCCAAAGACATGCCAGAATATTGAGAGTGATTACACACCTCGATGGGAGGGATGCTGAGGAGTTGAGTCCTTGTTAAGGGAATATATGCTTTTGGATGGGCACAAATCTAGCATGAATGGGCAGTACCAGTGAGGACACTGGGCAGAAATGTCTCCCAGATGACTTATAAAACTTAACATAGAAAAATGTAAACATATGGATGAGGTTTTAAAAAAGTGTCAAATGGTCTAAATGGGCAAAGGTTAAGGCACTGAACAAGAAAAAGGATATGGCAACTGGACAGATGCGATGCTTGTTTACAAGTGCTTACACATCGTTATTTTGGTTAAAGGGTGGCTCGCCCCCCACACCCCACAGTGTAGCTACATTAACTAGGAACAGATGTAAGCTAAACTGTAACAAGCCACTTTTAAACCAAACCAAATAAACAAAAATTCTTCACACAAGAGTTTTCACTGGTACAAAAATGACTGGGATGGGTAATTTGAATGTAGCCAGGGGCCACAAAATCCACAAACTCTTTTAAAAAAAATTAAAATGACCTGTCAAAGAGGCTTCAGGATATAGCAGAAGATAAAGCTGTTGTGGTCGAGGAAGAAGCAGTCCTTGCTGTCCTGGGGCAGCTCGCCTGGCTGCTGCTCTGAGAAAGTGTGCCAGAGCAGCAAATCCTCCACTGATACTGCCATGCTGGGCTATGTGAAATACATCTGCCTGCCCACATACAGCTCCATGATCTCCAGGAAGGCAGCAAGACTACTAAAACTGGAAACCTGCTGCCTCCACTAGGTGCCAGGGAACAACCTCCTCCAGGCAGTGGAAAGAGCCTCGCCCCTTTGGCCATCCTCTTGCTCCATGTTGGCAGAGCCTCTTGCCCCTTTCCTCACTCTGGACACTGGAAGAGCTGCCTCCTCAGGCTCAGATTTAGGTGGGCCTGGGTACTAACACAGCTGACCCTGGCCTTCCCATGGTTACGCCCCTGGTTAGCAGGCCAAATAAAAATGAATCAGAGGGCCAGATGTGGCCCAGGGCTGCCAGTTGCCCATCCCTGATTTTAATTAAACCAGTGTAACTTTCCCCACATATAAGGACTTAAAATTCAGCTCTTTGACAGCAATTAGAAAAGCAAAACAAGTCATGTATACATGAGACTAAAGCACAAAATAAGGTACTATTGACTGATGAGATTTCACTCAAGTACATGCAGAATCTAAGACCACGACATTAAAACAAAGATTATTAAATATGAAAAACAATCTCAGGAATTATCAGAACAACAGGCTAGAAAGTTGCTCATAAAAAGGTAGCATCGATTTATGTAAGATTAGGCATTGGAAATGGATGTGATGAGACTACCCTAATCGGCAACAGCTTTAAGAACTCAAGACACCTAAGTTTAAGGCAAGGATTGGGCACTTAAAGGATTTAGGGAAAGGTTTATACAAAAGTTTAAAATTTATATAAGCCAAGGGCCTTGCATGTGGCACCCTTTTTTTTTTTTTTTTTGGTGTAAATCTAAATGAAATGCTATTGATTCTGAACACGCCCAAAACAGTTTTCAATTATAAAATATATATGCAGTACAGTCTTAGTTATCCAACTACAAAAAGTACATTAAATGTATCTGGATAATCCAAAAAGAGGTTGTTATATGCATAAGGACTGCAATGCATAACTTTCAACACAGGACATTATGCTCTGCAGTCATACGACAGGGGACTTCCGCTTCAAGGTAACAGTTTTGGTTGATCAGAAGATGGATAACTGAAGCCACATTGAATAGGGATCATTTCACCCAGCATTGTAATACAGCAACGTCTGGGATGTGTAAGAAGGCAGTACTTTCCAAGCACAACAGTGGTCTCCCTACCCCATATTGGGGCATTGGGACAGTAGCAAAATAAGGAAAGCATGCTGCTGAGTGCATCACCAGCACCACTTCTCTTTTTAAAATATTTGGAAAGGTGCTCAGACATTAGTGAGGGGACCATACAAGTAACTACCTATAAAGAGTGCTCCTAAGTAACTGTTATGCTCGTTTTTCATCCTAAACCCCAAGTTACTGCTATGATATTCCTAACCAAACGTACAATATTGCTATTTAATATAGCTATTAAATATATTTATATTAATCTTTAAATTTAATAGAAGTACTATTAATTCATCTGAAGTGATCTCAAATCACTTTTCTAGATGTAAAGTTTATGTTTACATTTAAACTTACCATCCCGTCGCAGAACAAATTCTTTGGTCTCAACATACTCAGACTCTTCTAACTCAATGAAAGCTTTAACTTTTGCCCAGTAAGATTGACTCAGTTCTTCTATTTCATTAGAGAGGTCACAATAATGTTTTGTTGTGTTCATGCAGGTGCTGACTGGCTTATATTTCCCTAGCCTGTAAAATAGATTAAAGAGTAATTAATGTAATTTTTACAGTCAATGTATTACACAATACAGGTGTTAGAATGGAGACAAATTCCGTCTTCATTTACACTCATACTGAATTTCATAGGGACTGCATGATTTCACTGTGTAGAAATAAAACTTTCCTGGAGATATGGCAAAATCAAAGGAATCACTACATGAATACCTTTTAAAGAAAATAAGGTTAAGATATAATGCAAGACAGACACTTACTCATAAGGTTTGATTTCCACAGTAAAGCGGGGGGTTGTAGGCACTCTCATGTAATCCCAGTGCAATACAGTATGGAAGTTCAAGGATTCTATTTCAACCTTTGTTGGCAGAGGCACTAAAAAAAGAAATCAAACAGAACAATCAGTACCTTGACGGAATAGCTTTGTGTGATGTACGAGAACAGCAATCAATATTCCTGAAGTATTCAGAAGACAATGCATTTACTGGAAGTTACTTCAGAAGTCATTAGAGATAAGACTCTACTTGTTGCCTACACGAATAGGGCAGAGTCTGTCAGATTGATTTGCTGTTCTTCTTACAAGAAAATCTTTTTGTCCAAGATTGCGCTGAATGCCTCAGAGTTTCTCTTTCTTCTCTCTCTTTTCCTATATTACATTCTCCCACCTCCAGTATATATTCTGTCTCTTCTTCCACTGCCTCCACTCAAGGGGCGGTCTCTCTCTCGCTCTCCTTACAAAAAGAAAAGGAGTACTTGTGGCACCTTAGAGACTAACCAATTTATTTGAGCATGAGCTTTCGTGCTCAAATAAATTGGTTAGTCTCTAAGGTGCCACAAGTACTCCTTTTCTTTTTGCGAATACAGACTAACACGGCTGTTCCTCTGAAAGCTCTCCTTACAGGATTTCATTAACCGGACACCACACACAAACTCTGCTGCCAATCATCCCACTCACACAGAGGGTTTGGAAATATCAAGCTCCTGAATCCCAAGAAGAATTAAGCCTAATAACTAAAGGCAAATATGAAAGATGAAGCCCCATCCCTCACTGGCTGGGGTAATGGCCCTGGGGATACACTATCTCTTATTCCTCCAGCTGCTGGGTAAGGGGATGATGCTGTTACGGGACCCACCTTCAAAGGCTGCCTGTGGGACGTGAAGAGGAGCATTTACTGTTTCTTTCTCTAATCATAGATGTCAGCTCCTGTGATGGTTGTCGAATCCCCACTATTCTACTCCTTTCAGCCTCTTGGCTGCTGCAAGGGGTTTGTGTCCTCACTATTCTATCTTCTGGTCTCCATTTTTGGGTCCCCAGTTAAGTGAATGGCTTCAGTTTCTAGCTCTGAGCTCGTAATTCCTAAAAGCAGTGAAACTAACACGATTCTTTTCAATGCTACTACTGTCTACAGGGTTCTGAACAGTAGCAGTGAAAAAACTGACAAGACTTTTGTTGTTAGTCTGCTATAGCTTTTAACAGCTTTGAGCAGCAGCAACACTGGAGTCCTAAGCAGACTAGGTCTTGTTTACACCCAGAAGTTACACCAATTTAACAGAGTTTTAAAATAATTCAGTACAACTGTTTGTACAAAACCCAATATTAGCAAGTTTAAATTGACTTAACTTGCCCCTGTAAATATGCTAACAAGTTATCAGTAGAAGACAGATTTAAAATTGATTTAAGTGTCCACACAAAGTTGCACTGGTTTAACTACATCAGCATTTAAAACAAACAAAACCAAAAACAAACAAACAAAAAAAAAAACCCAAACACCAGACTATTAGATAAAACAGTGCAAGGCCTGCTTAGACCAGGCATAAATGGGTTAAAAAAAATAAATCCATAAAAATCACACCTTAATTTAAATAGTGCAACTTTCCTCACATAGACAAGCCTACAGAAAGGTTACACTGCATTGTTTTCCACAGAGTTCATGTTTGAGAGGTTACCTTTTTTAAAGGAAAAAAAACCAAACCACAAAACTTAAATTTTGCATAAGCTGATGACACCTGTTTAGGAAAACTTCCTACTTGCCCAGGGAAATGGATTTTCAGGCTCTGTCCATGCTTAGACACTTAAACGATTACAAGATAGAGGATGTAAAGAGTTTCTCTTAGAAGTATCGCTGTTCACCTGAAACAGATAGCCAGAACATAAGCAAAGAAAGAAAGGCACTGACCTGTCCAAAAGCATATTGGCCCCAAGTGATCAAAAAATTATATGCTTTTTGATGTCCTCCTCCCTTACCTTTAAAGAGGGACACCAACTTGGGGGGAAAAAAAATCACATCTATTTGAAGTGTTTATAGCCTCTGTTGGTTGAGAAGTAACATCTATCATTACTACAACTCAAAAACTGTTAAAGAGTGCCTCTCCTTCAGTTTGTTTACATTAATCATGAAAATCTACCCAGCTTCAGCAGAGTTATAAGTCTTTGAAAAATGCTATTTGCACATACTCAGTGGAGCTTGTTAGAGGTTTACTTCCTCCTAAAATCTCCAAAGTTTAATCTCCAACATAGTCCAGCCTATAGGGATCCCTACATCACAGCAAAAGCATTGGACATGCTCCCTGAATAGGGTGATAAATCCTAAATTAAGGGAGCCTTGCTTTTCACACATTTTATTATTAAAGGTATTAAAGGCAGAACTAGGACCAGAATGCGTGTCTCATAGCATTTCCACTTAGTCACACTGCTTTTCAGAATATGCAAACTATGTAGCTGGCTGTGCTGTCTATCATCACAAGCCTATATACCCCCCCTCCACCCGAGTTAAGAGTACAACCCAGGATTTCTCATTTCCAACGTATTTCTGCAATCTGGCAAGTAGTCATGTAAGCTCTGACAAACTATGTGTACCATCACCCTCTAGTAGCTGGTTCATATAAGATGACAGCATACTACTGATACCACGTGTCGCTTTAGCTCAAGAGGTAGGTGTCCATGCTAGATACCTAGAAGGCCTGGAAAGCGTTCAGCAAGTGAATCAGGCTTGTGTAGTGAATGCAGCTGTCTGTAGGACATCCGATTCATCCATTGTAGAACTACAAGGTGTTGAGAGAGTGAGGAGGAGTTAGGGGACTGCAGAAAGAGAAAGGACTGCCTTCAAAGGCAACTGAATGCCACCCAGGAGAACTGGGTTCCATTCATATATCTGCTATAGACTGCATATGTGATGGTGGGTAAGTCACTTAAATGAAGATTTTCACATTGTATTCCTCATTTTCTGGGTACCCAACTTGAGACATGAGACCTTGTTTTCAGAGTTGCTGAGCACTCAACTACAAGTAAAGTCAATGGGAACTGCAGCTGCTAAGCACCTCTAGGAGCAAGATGTGGAGTTGGGAAGTCCTGGGCTTCCTGGTTATACCATTGACTCACTCTGTGGCTTTGCACGAGTCATTATCTGTTTTAGTCTCCTTGTGTTTAAAAATGGGTATAATATTTACCCATCTATTTCACAGGGGTATTGGCAGCAGTTGGTTAGTGTCTGTACATTGCTTTGAACACATACAATTATTAAAAATGCAGAATACTCTAAAAATGGATCCTTAGTTCTCAAGTTAGGTATCCAAACATGGAAGCAACCATAATTAGTGAATACTTCAAATTATAGCCAAGGTTCCTTATCTGTAAAATGAGGAGAACTCATTTATTTCTGGACTTTAGCAAAGCTTTTGATACGGTCTCCCACAGTATTCTTGCCAGCGAGTTAAAGAAGTATGGGCTGGATGAATGGACTATAGGTGGATAGAAAGCTGGCTAAACCATCAGGCTCAATTGGTAGTGATCAATGGTTCCATGTCTAGCTGGAAGCTGGTATCAAGCAGAGTGCTCCAAGGGTCAGTCCTGGGGCCAGGTTTGTTCAATATCTTCATTAACGATCTGGAGGATGGTGTGGATCACACCCTCAGAAGTTTGCAGATGACACTAAACTGGGAGGAGTGGTAGATATGCTGGAAGGTAGGAACAGGATACAGAGGGACCTAGACAAATAAGAGGATTGGGCCAAAAGAAATCTGATGAGGTTCAACAAGGACAAGTGCAGAGTGCTGCACTTAGGACGGAAGAATCCCATGCACTGCTACAGACTAGGGACCAAGTGGCTAGGCAACAGTTATGCAGAAAAGGACCTAGGGGTTACAGTGAACGAGAAGCTGGATATGAGTCAACAGTGTGCCCTTGTTGCCATGAAGGCTAACGGCATTTTGAGCTGTATAAGTAGGAGCATTGCCAGCAGACCAAGGGATGTGATCATTCCCCTCTATTCAGCATTGGTGAGGCTTCATCTGGAGTACTGTGTCCAGTTTTGGGCCCCACAATACAAGGATATGGAAAAATTGGAAAGAGTCCAGCGAAGGGCAACAAAAATGATTAGGGGGCTGGAGCACATGACTTATGAGGAGAGGCTGAGGGAACTGGGATTATTTAGTCTGCAGAAGAGAAGAATGAGGGGGGATTTGATAGCTGCTTTCAACTACCAGAAAGGGGGTTTCAAAGAGGATGGATTTCGACTGTTCTCAGTAGTACCAGATGACAGAACGAGGAGTAATGGTCTCAAGTTGAAGTGGGGGAGGTTTAGGTTGGATATTAGGAAAAACTTTTTCACTAGGAGGGTGGTGAAGCACTGGAATGGGTTACCTAGGGAGGTGGTGGAATCTCCTTCCTTAGAGGTTTTTAAGGTCAGGCTTGACAAAGCCCTGGTTGGGATGATTTAGTTGGGGATTGGTCCTGCTTTGAGCAGAGGGTTGGACTAGATGACCTCCTGAGGTCCCTTCCAACCCTGATATTCTATGATTCTTATCTTAGAGGAGTTGTGAAGATACTTTCATAAGACCTTCCTACTATTATAATTAATACCATAGAAAGCTAATTAATAATTAGGCATTAGAAATTAATAATTCTGTATCCAGCATAGCACTTGGATGCTTTTCAATAAATAGAGCATGAGGCCAAACCTTAAGCCTAAGAAGAACACTGGATAGTTTCCTCTAACTAACCACCACCCATCCTGTGCACTGATTAAGGCAAGGGTCACGTGGTAAAAACCTGTTTGTGATCATGTAGTTAGAGATCATCATAATACATGTACACAAGGGCGCCAAATTAAGTTTGAATACGAAATTTTACTTCTGGCATTTCCTACCTTTTAAATGTTTGAATTTGCAATCTTATTTTAATGTAGGTAATAGATCATAACTCAAACCTGACCTTTGCCAGATTATATTTTTGTTTACAGAACATAGCAGATAGACTTGAGGCTGTACATTAAGAGAGTCTAGACTTTGCTTCGTATTATACTAATAAGGGAAAGTAAAAAAACATTTCCCTCATCTTAAGAATGAGACCACAAAGATTTAATATGTGCAATATGCAA